ACTGCCATAAAACAATCAAGAAGTCCAAACCAGCCCATCATGCCAACTGAAATAACTGGAAAAAGGCTTGAAAAAGAATATGTCGAAATGAACTGCTCCAGCAGCTCATGCTGTTAAGTCTGAAGATCCCCAATTTAACATGCCATTGCTTTCTTCAAGCTCTTTGGCATATAGATAAACCTCTTCGTGGAATTTCAGAATTTCTCAAAATCAGAAATGATGTGTTGCGTAATGCAATTTTTACACTAATAACGTGTCTGTTCTGACATCAAGGGAGAAGAAGCAGTTATAAATGGCATACATATGGAACAGAAAACAGGCACAAGATCGTACTATTATGGATAAAGAACATTCCAGCAAAGTGCATAGAAATACAACTTACAAGTCACTTATCCTGCCATGCTCCTCTCTCCTAGTTCCTTCCTCTTTGTCTTTAATCAGTAAAAGGTCTGTTAGATCTCATTACATATATATACAGACACACGCGCACGCATACTCTGAAGTCTAGACTAAGTGAAATAAACAGTCAAAAAACCCAAAGTGTTTACATGATGAAAACTTCTTTTCCTAACTACATTTCCGTCAAATCAGCTACTTTTCCATGCCATGCACGCTTAAATTCTGAATTGCAGAACCCTTTATAAAAGGGGAGAGGCTTATGAAATTATTTTAGCATTCCTCTAACAATGGAAAGGTGCGGTATATTTGCAATTGTCTTTGGCTTTTTAGACCACGTCATAGGAATTTACAGACGCAGCTCTCCAGTATCAGAGTGAAAAACCTATTGATCTCAATAAAAATAGGTTAAATTGCTTTACAAATTAAGATGATTTACTAATGACAAAGATTCATATTTTTACCTACCTTTTACAGTGTTTATGCTAAAATTACTTGCCACCCTCTATTTTGGGTATTCAGTGTCAAATTAGACTTAAAAAAAAAAAAAAAAAAATCTTCCTGCTCTTATGCCAAATTTGACTGTCGGTTTTTATTGGAACATCAAAAGCAGGCTTTTAATTCTCACAGTTTTGATGCTTAATGAAAAGTGAAAGTTAAACACAGCATGGCAGCATTAAAAATGCATGGTAAATCCATAGCACCCTGACATCTTAGCCCTGCAAAGGATGTGAAGAAAAGCCATTGTAAACAAAAGATAATACTACTAAATACAAAGCAAATTAATTAGATGGTCTGACAGACTCTTAAAACAAAGAAAAAATGGAGGGAGAACATACGTACAACTATCTTCCAGCAAAGATATCACAGTGGTCTGTCAGCAGCACAGCCATATATTGAATTTAAGTTTATGTCTTCATTTTCAGACTTTGCTCCTGAGTATCTGGAAATTGATACATTGATAAGCTAGCATAGTCAAGAACTTGGACAAAGAAGGGGTTCTGCATCCTCAGCTGTACCACATAACCCAGATGGCAAGAACTTATGGCTCTGAACCACCTATTTTACAAACTACAGACTGCTAAGGATTGTTATCAGTTAAACTGTCTACATTAAACCCAAATTTAACCAAACTGAGAATTTCCTTTTGTGCAGAAAAAGTGTCCAAGTTCTCCCACCTCATTTCAACAGGGACAAATAAGTGGCCCTTCTAAAGCTCCTGGCACTTGCTGTTCCTGAAAACTCTGATCTCTGATAGGGGTGAACTGAGCTGTAAGCTCATCAGTAGTACCTGAGATGATCTCTTTTTCTCCCTGCAGTCTTCTAGGAATTAAGCTTCTCATCCAGAAGGTAAAAGCAATAATAAAATATTTTACTATTTTAATGCATTTTTTGTATTAAAAAGAGAGGACAATACTGCTACTGTTGGCAACATATGGAACGTTTTACATTCATACATTCTACGCAATGTTGTGCACAGAAAGTGGGAATAAGCAAACTAAAACGATGCCTTGATTGCATTTTACCAGGTTTTCCCTCAGGAAACAAAGATGTGTCTCACAGCACGCTCTTGACAATAATACATGTTGTTTATATCCCTTAACTTTGCTTTCTTTTACACATATTTGGCTGATTTTTCTTTTGCTTTCACCTGATCCAAAGTTATATTTTAACAAATCATTTTTCTATTATTATGAGAAGCTTGTACAGACGCTCCATGGCAATCTAAAAAGAAATATATAGGTGCAGTGAGCATAACACTGTAGCTGTACTCTAGAATTTGGGTCATGAGGCAACAGCGGAAGAAAATGATCAGAAACCTTGCTGCTACCCCTGGTCAAGCTTCTAAGGACAGCAGAGTTCCTGAAAGCTGAGCATTTCAGTGTAGATTCCTGCATAATTTACACACCACGTAATATGGCAAGTTACCCAGGGTAAAGAAATAACTAAGACTATGCCAGAGGAGGTAGCAGTCAGTGTGCCTGAAATTAGGCAGCTCTCCAGAATCATCTCTTTCCCCACTGCTTTAATCCTGGAGTATTGGGGCAATAATTGCCACTCAAGACCATGAGCTGCCTATTTGCTGTTGCCTTGAAAAGGGAAAAAAAGGTGATTCTTTCTAAAAACCAAAAACTTAGACTGGATTTTCCTCTTCTAAAGCTAATACTAATTTTAGTACAATTCAGGCAATAAAATAAGATTCAGACTTTTTAATGTAACAGGGTAATGGATGGTAAGAGAGAAACTTAAAATAACTCCTCTTTGCTTTATCACAGAGCCATCATCTATTTTGAAGAGGTCAATGCAGGAAACTGCCCAAATGTGCATTAGCACTTAAAGGATGCAAGCAGAAGAGCAATGCTTCAAACTGATTAAAAGACATCTGTGTCCAAAAAGACTAGGTCTGGAACTCTTTACTGTAATTTAGATAAAAAACTGATTTACCTTCGTATAAATGTTCCTAAAATTATTTAATTTGTGTTGTTTATGGTGCATTTAACTTAATTTAAATTAACATAGTGAAAGCGACTAAGTGATTTTTTTAACCAGGGGTTAGAGTGCTCTGAGGCATCTCTACATATGCACGTGAACTGGAATTCAGTAGTTTTTCATCTTGCAAAATAAGCCCAGACAAATGAAAACCTACAGGTTTTCAGGATGTGTCTCCCTGCTTACAGGATCACTTAACCACTGAGTATATAAAATTAGTGTGTTTAATATGGACTTAGATGCTGTCCTGATCAGAATCTATTTTTTGGGGAATTAGAGATATGAAGGTTCCCAGAAGAAACTTAGGCAAAAGTGAGATGTTTCTGGAGTGAATTACTGCATCAGTTCCACTAAGAGACACAGAAAGTTACTGAAACTGAGCTTATGATACTTTCACAGTTTGCCCTGAGAGGTCTTTTTAAGGACATCTACTGCTTATTTGTTATTTAGGATCTAGTTCAAAAAGCTTATGAAATGCAAGCTGCCATCTTGCATCCTGTGGAAACTGAGGAATAGGAACATTATAGCATTAACTTTCTTAAGAATCTCCTGAATATTTGTTTAAATTCATCAGCAAGAGTTGCATAAATCAACAGGGAAGTTGCCTTAAAAAGGATGGACAATCATCCTACTTACTTTTACTCTTGTGCATCCATCTAAATAAACACACACATCTTAATAAACATTATTTTTTCCTTACTCTTAAAATGATATTTTGGCATAATTAATATGTTTCTATTTAATATCCTCTTCAGATGGAATTGTATGTTGCCTTTTAGGTCTGAGAGTCTTCCCCAGGGAAGCAGCTAGATTTAGAAGTACCTATTAAAACTTTATGTGGCAATGATTGAAACAAAATGTCCTTCCTTGAAACCAAAGTTAATCTTTATACCAACAGCCACATCTTTCCAGATCAGCCGCAGTACCGCTCTTTCCCCTTCTGCCCTATGCCTCACAGCATGCAGCTGCCTCTTGCACCCTGCACCTTCCCTGTGCCACGGCTGTTTCCTCACTCCCCACTTCCCAGGGTGACAGGCGAGCTCAGTAGGGCTCTGAACCACAGAGACAGCAGAAGGGACTGAGATTTCACTAAAGCTAAGGTGATTTCTGGAATGAGAATCACTATAGTCCAATGGTGTTCAGACAAAAATGTTGTGGGTATTGTGATGATACTGGATACAGAGGCTCAGTAATTCTGCAACATATAATTCTAGTGAATTAATAGTAAACATTTGCAAAATTTGGCTGCAAGTTTCACAACACAGGCCTGTGTTTATGTAAATAAGGAAGGGGCAATAAAAAATGATCTTTCATTATGAACAACAGTACAGCTTATAAAGGCTTCTGTAAAAGCAAGAAAGAAAAAAGTTAAGCCAATGTTTTACTGTTTCACTCTGCAAACGTGCTTTCTCATTTTCATGAACATGATTTTCCAAAAAGTGATTTTCTGAAAGAACAAGGTACAGTTCTTGCGGCATCTCTCCAACAGCGTCATCTTGAAAACGTTTTTCTCATTTCCAACCCCTCAAACTCAACTATGAAATCTGAAGCACCAATTGAACACTAGCTAATGCATACATTGTCATAAACTTAGAAACTATTCCAACAATCCATTACATTTTCACTAAATAGGCCCTGGCTAGTCAACAGAAGTAAAAAATAGTCATTTCACATTCCTGGCACTAATGGAGCACGTCCACAGTTCAGAGCAACACTGTGCAAAGACACTCAAGCTCAGTCTGAAGGATCGCACAGAGTGCCTAAAGCACCACAAGTGTACTTGAGCTGTGGTGCGCTGGGGATAATGTGCCATGCCAATTACCCAGGACAGAATGGCACACTAACACAACTAGCCTGCTTCCAACACCTGAGCTAGTTCTCTTGAAGATCTCTGCATAGCCCTGAATTGTGTAGGATACCTGAATTTCAAATTTAAACAGGTGTGTTACTGAACGTGTAAGAGGAACCACTCTCATATAAAAGGTACCACTTTTACACAGTAGCGTTTCAGAGCAGAATCACGCTGAGTTCAAGCTGTGGGTACAAAGCACATGCGAGACTGAACAGGCAGACGTTACTGAAAGCTCAAAATGCAAAATAAAGCAACGCATTACCATTTTTATCCATGGAATGGGGCTCAGACTGCTTCTTTCCAATATCAGCAAAGGATCTCACAATTGGGATCCTGTTGCTCAGCTTCTTCTGGTTCTGATGGTGATGCTGTTTCAGTAATGCCTCATGCACTCTGTGACGAACATCCTCACTGAGCTGTCCAGAACCCACCTGCTGGTCCAGAATCATATCTGAAAATACACACATAAACATAATAAAAGAGGGGAAAGAGAAAATATTTTATTTTTTAAATTGTAATAATAAGAATTAGTACCCTTCAGGATTACAAATGGAAGATATCAGTTCCTTTAAATGGTAAGTTTTATCTAGAAGTGTTCCACTCTCAGGGGGGAAAAAAAAAAAAAAAAAAAAAAAAGGATGCTATTAATGTAAAAAAGTCAATCCCTCAAAAGATATGCAGTTCCCAAATTAAGGTCACCTATGTAACTTTGAAGTTAGCCCCTAAGCACTCCCATACATAATGCATTTAAACCCAGGAATATGATGTGTATAAGGTGTCTTTTTTTTCCAAATAACCCCTACCTTGTTTGCTACAAAGAACTGGCATGCTGTGAGGAAACAACTTTTTTATTCCCTTTATACTTACCACAGGAGATCACAGTCTAGCTCTTTATTTCTTACAACTATAATTACAATACTTTCAGTACAATATAAAGAAATTTCAGATAAGACAATACATGAAAATTTGCTGCATTATTTGCAAATACTTAATAGGATCTCATTCTACTGCCAGATGTACATGTTCCTGCAAGAGAATCATTACATGGAGGTGTGAGTGAAACTGATCCCCCTACTAAGAAATTACAACCATTTTTGCAGTCCACTGGCAGAAAATATTCTTACATATTCATATTCAAAACTATTTATAAATATGTGCATTACGTATTTCAAATGGGAAAGAACTGTTGAGAATATTGTGGGATTTTTTAAATTATTATTTTGGGAAATCCTGCTAGCAACAGTAATAATGCTTAACAGAAAAAGAAAGGAAGAAAAGAAATTCTGTATCAAAGCAAGTAAAACAGCATTTAAGTACACACTGTCCTTGTATATCCATTGGAAGAAACTGTACTGCACAAAAACAGTGATATAATAAGCTGAGTCAAAAACTCTTTGTACTGAAAATGCAGACAGCTCATGATTCTGTGCTGGAGTCAGATTCATATCTACCAGTAAACTCAGCAAGCAGAGCAGAAAAAATAAAAAGCAGATGCATCATCAGTAGAGACATAATTTGTCAGGTCTTTGGTAACTGCCAAGAGCAAGAGAAAAGAAGAGAGATAATAAAAGGCATCAAACAATTATGTTGGTTAAAAGCAGAGTTTAATTGCTAACTGTCAACTATACACTGCATATACATTTAAAAAACACAACAGTTTTTCTGAAGTTCTCAACATCCACATAACAAGCCAATGTATCATATACATAGCTGCTTTAAGAGCTGAACAACGAATTACCTGCATGTTTCACTTACTACGAAAAGGTTACCAACAAATCTACATCTCTATGACGACACACACACAAAAAGACAAGGCTAGGTCCACAGATAAATGCAGCTGCCCACAAATGCAAACATGAGATATGTATCCGCATCTCGCAATGAAGAGTGATGCAGAGGTTTTCGCTGTTGCCTTTGACCCTCTCCAGCAATTACATTCTGCACAGTATTAACAACAGTGTTGACCAAATGGCTCACACCAAAGAGTAATACTGCCTGGCGGTGCGCCTAAACTAATAAAACCTGTCTTGGGGTGCTTCACCTGACTCTGAAGGGAACTTTTATCTCCAGGGTTAATTCAAACACCACCAGGTCAGTTATCTCTGCACTCCCATTCTAGACAAACACAGTTTTTCTATTACTCTAGACTCTCATGGAAGAGATAGAGAGGCATAGCAGCAAGATGAGTGACAGAAAGGCAAAAGAGAAGGTAACACAAGTTCAAGAGAAAGTCTTCGGTAGAAAATTTTCAGAAGGAGCCAAGAATTTGCAACACATGAGAAAAAGAAAAGAAAGCTCCAGCTCCAAGGAAAATACTCATTTTCCTGCTCAGTTCTACTGCCTCTGCCCTGAGGATAAGACTGTCTTCCCTTCAGATAGCCTTAGTATATGAATTTGCATGTTACAGTTCCCAAAACAGGCCAGTACTTTCTGTAACATGACAGGGGATCTTCAGAGGAAAAAATCTGTGCTAAAGCACAATTGAAATTATCCTCTCCCCCCTCCTTTTTAATTCTGCTGACCAAAGGACAAATTGTAGAAGATGCAAAAACAAAGATTACCTTCTCTCTAAGACAGAAATCAAAAGGAAGAGCTGAAAAAAAAGGACTCCTCTAGAACAGGCAAATTTAGGGTTGTGGTCATCATCTTGCTTACAGATCAACGAACTCCATTTGTATGGTGTCATTCCTGGAATTACAGTTTTTTCCATATTAAATACTAAAATATATTAACTGCTGAGGATGATGTCAATATTTAAGATGATCCACTTCAGGAGGGAAAATGCCAGGAAAAAGAAAATCATACCCCTATCCTCTTCCTTGCCTAGATGCTCTGCTAGACTCGTTAACAGTCACACAGGCCATGGAGTTAGTGCCAGTGTGGTGACTAACAATTTTTATTTCTTGCCAAACTGAGAAGAAAGGGGCTTACCTTGAGTTTTCTTTTTTTACAACAACTTCCCCTTTACTGTAGCACCTCTGCCACATGTAAAAAGGGAAGATGCATTCAGATTTTTTGAAGACGTGTTTTCTTGCCTTGATGCTCCCCTCCTTTAATACAGTTAAATTCCTTTAATACAGACCCACTTGCAGTAGCAGCTGTAGGAGTTTAAATGCAGTCAAATTACTGCCAGAGTGCTATATTTTGACCATTTTTTCAAGATCTGAACTTATCAGAATAGTAGTAAGAAAGACTGTCTCCATCAGCACCTATCATTATGGGATTGCACTTCAGTTTCTTCCCAAGTTTTTCAACATATCTTTTAAAAGCCCAAGCCTCTGTGATGTCAGTGATAACACTCTTGATTGCAAAGATAAGCTTGAAAACAAGAGCAACACGGTTAAAATCCGAGAGTAAATGGCAAACAGAAGCATTTTAAACATCTCATTTTTAAAACAGACTCTATTTCCTTAATCCTGTGAGAAGAAGATCCTACATAGCCATTTCTCCAAACTCCGTATGACAAAACTGAGTAAAGAATACAGACCTGAAACTTCACAGCACTATGTCACAGCTACATTGCTGTGTAACAACAGAGACTCTCCAGGGTTTCTATGCTCAGCAACAAAGGTTTGCACATTTTTGTTTGTTTGTTTGTTTTAAAGAATTTTCCTCTTGAATGACCTTTTAAACTCTGCAGAGCCCCCTTCTACCCAGAGACACAGCTTCCCATTAGATTTTTCAAGGATGCTTCACAACCATACGGAGCTTTCAGCAAGATGCAATCTGTGGAATATCCACCAGCATAGTTACCCATTCTACTAATTGCACACACCATAGCGTTTCTGCTGACATCAGGAACACTGAAGTAGGATGCTTCTTCCATAAGGAAACTTGATTCATACTGGAACCATGAAATCATTTTTTCAAGCTGTTAAAGACAGATATGCTTCCTGCCCTGGTCATTTAACAAGATTCAAAGAAACTTGGGGTTTCATAGAATTTCAGGAATGTCTTCTCCATTCAGACTCAGTTACAATACATCATTTACATAGAATTGATTTTGTGAGTAAATGTGAGCAATGTGAGTACTTAAACAAGCTACTGTAGTAACTCAAATGTAACTCCTCATCACCTGTGAACAATTTACCCAGGCTGTGAATTAGAGCATCAGGGGTGCAGACACTTCAAATCAGTTAAAATGCAGTGCGGCTTATGTGTTGTCCAGCACAGAAAACTGCATCTGTCCCACCTCTAGGGTCGGCAAGGATGCAAAAGCAGGTGGCCGCTTCCACTCACTCTGGAGATGTCTATTACACACTGCAGCTTTGTACAGAGACATGCAGCCAGATCCACATGAAGCCATCCCAGGTCCAAGCAAATGAGCATTAAGGAGACACTCAAGTGTGGCCACAGCTCATTCCCCATTGCTCCAGGTTCACAGTGTGCCCATCACCTCACATACAATACTACACGAAACTCCCAGGTGAAACATAGAACAAATTTATAGAAGGTATACTGCATTTGCACCAAAATACCTGTGAAGTCCAAAAAGAAATTACTAACAAGTAAACAGGCCCAACTGGGCCTGACTTTTGCAGTGGTGAGTAAAGAAACAAGATCCAGAGCTCTTTTTTTTTTTTTTTTTAACCTGTGTACCAGATGAAATACAAGTTTTGGATTGCTGGGCTCCTATTGTTCCGATATAGGTTGGCACTGACAGTTTACAGCAGAAGAAACTGAACTCAGTATAGACCAGCGAAGTTGCTGGTATTTACACCTCTCAATCTTCCAAATTTTGTAACTGTGCAATTGCAGGACAAAATGAGAGATCAATGACAAAAAATAGAACACATGGGCTTTTGTGTGCATCATGATTACAGTGACAGCTGACTACAAAACCTAATTTAAAAGACAAGGTTTGTTTGGTTTGTGGTTGTTTTCTTCCCCTTAAAGACAGGGGAGAAGAAAACACAAGCAACCCTAAAGCAGAGCATTATGGAAGACATTCAGTTGAAATGCTGTCCTTTATCTTCACCTTTCTCTAATAGGAACCCAAATATACACTTCCCTAGTGAGTTAGGCACTAGGAGCAATAGAAAACCAACAATTAGGATTCTTGCGCTGCATTTGTGAACCAAGACCCATTTACAGTGTTTACAATGGTGATTATAAACAAGCTATCTAAGCCAGCAGATTTAGCCTGCTCATCCAAGGAGGCAAAGCATTCCAGTGCACTGAGAGACGGAGTCTATTTCCAGCTCTACCTGAAATTACTTCGTTCAACTTCTCAGCTGAATTACTTGAAAAGGAAAGATGGAGAGTAAAAAATGTCTTCTTTCTAAAGTAACAGCATGCAATTTTACTGAAGAACAAGAGCAAGCATTTCACAAAACTGTAACTAGTAGAGACAAGGCTAAAATTCCCAGCTTGCAGCTCAGAGAGCAAGCACAGTTTTAAGTCACAGCTATGCTAACATGCCACAGTGGATGCTACCAAAAGAAGAATGGA